AACTAAACCAATCGTTCCCAAAGTGGTTCCTACGGACCCCTTGGGGTCCCTGTAAGTTCTCAGGTGGTCCGTAGCAAAATAGTCCGCAAAAAGTAGGATCAGTAGTCGTCAGTTGTTGCAGTATATGTAAGTCTGTGAAGTGTATTAACAACTAAATTTGTAAGATACTATACCCTATGATTGAAAACTGATACAAAAGATGAAACTATATTTAAGGAATTAAAAATTTTTTGAAGCAAAACCTATTCCTTTGTGTAATATTGTCTGCGTTGCTACTGATGGTCCTCCGGCAATAGTAGGACGCCATCGAGGTTTTCTGGCATATTTAAAACAAGCAGTACCGAATGTATTAACAGTACATTGTGTCATTCAACGACAACATTTAGTAGCAAAAAATCTTACATCGCTCACTGAATTATGTGATTACAGCAGTTAATAAAATCAAAAAGAATGCCTTAAATGAGAGATTATTTACTCAACTTTGCCTGGAGAATGATGAAGGTTACAATCGTTTGCTACTTAACACAGAAGTACGTTGGTTGTCTAGAAGTGCATGTTTGAATAGTGAACAATCCGGTAGTAACCGTGCTCAGATAAAAAAAGGTGGAGGTTTTGGATGGCGATTTGTGTTTAAATAAAAGAATAAAATAATAAAATCTATTCTTACTTATATTTCCTTCCCCATTTTTCCCTTCCTTATCACAATACTTTGAATTTTAGTTTTACGCACATTGATTAATTTAACGCACGATACACACGTGGTGGTGGTCGAGTCGCAAGAGACCGAGCGCCCCCTCTCAAAAGTTTATATATAAAATTATTTCAAAAACCGGTCGGTACAATGGGTTGCCTGAACATTACCACCCACCAAAAAATAAGTGAATAATTATTTTTTCAACAAACAAAAAAAAACTAGTGAAAATTGATAATTGTCTAACACAAGAATTATTGAATTTATACAAATCAAAAAATGAATTTGACTATTAAGTAATTACAGGAATTATAGAAATCTGTATTAATCTCTCATTATCTCTCTGTATTAATCTGTAATCTGTATTATTGNCTAGAAGTGCATGTTTGAATAGATTTTACTCACTTTTTGATTAAGTTTTAGAATTCTTTGAAACTGAAGACAATGATCTACGACTTAATTTATTTCATTCAAGAAATGATATGTTTGCCAAATTTAACGAAATCAATTTGCAAGGCGATCAGTTGAATTTAATAAAAACAAAAAGTGGAATATCTGCATTCGTAAAAAACTTTTTTCTATAAAGAAAAGTTGGGAAGAGGAGAATTCCCCTAATTTCATTTAGATTTCAAAAAAAGATTTGAAGACATTCTTCATTTGGTTATTGCCGATTGGGTGTTGGACCCTTTTACATACAAATCAACTAGCTCTGTGTTTATTCATTAACAACTTATCGAGCTAAGTACAAACGAAGAATTAAAACCAATGTTTGTTGACGGATATGAAAAATGTTGGTTACAAAAACAGATACCAACTTTATATCCCGAAGTATAGGACACTGCGGAAAAGTTTTTAATAGCTTTTTCGTCTTCATAGTTAATGGAACGTAGATTTAGTGCGGTTATGAACCTGATTACGAAAAAAAGAACTCGACTTGATGTTAGTGCTCGCGGTGACTTGCGGTTATTGCTTACAAATATAGAGCCAAACATAAACAATTTGATCACAACTCATCAGGCTCAGCCATCTTATTAAAAAATGTTTTCTTTAAAACAGGAACATGTTTTTTTTAATGTTGTTTTAAATATCAAAATATTTGTTGTATGTATTTATTTTACGTCACAAGTCAGTGACAGGTCATCAATTTTCTAACCAGCTCACTTTTTACGACCACTGCATTCCGGTAAAAACAGTTTTAGTAGCACGGCACTGACTAGGGGGTCTACGATCACGTTTTGGCTCAAGAAGGGATGCGTAGCCATAATAAGTTTGGGAACCACTGAACAAAGAAACCGTTTAGAAACGACAACAATATCTGGATTGTTATATACAAAACATATGGAAAAGTACGTATGTCACAATTTTCCAGTTGAGAAGGACTTGACAAATAAGATGACTGATACTATATTAAAAGGTAAAAGTTCCTACCAAGTTTTTAGTTAGAAAGTTTTTTGACGAAGAAAAGAATCTGGGAGGGCTTGCAATGGACGTTAAGAAAGCAGTTCAAAGAACACCAAAAGCCCTTGGTGTCAGTATGAGAACGGTAAGAAGAGTCTCTCATGAGTGCATAAGTAAAGGCACTGTAGAAAATCCAGTGCCAAAATCGGCCAGAAAAAAGATAGAATGTAATAAAGAACTGCAACCAGTTATAAGAAGACTGGTATTCGATTATTACCTTGCGAAGAGATTTCCGAAGCGATTTTATCGTTGGTTAAGAAACCTCCATTTTGTTTATAAAAAATTAAACAATAAACCAGTTTTAATGGAACACCCGAATAATGGTGCAGATTTGGGCAGATTTTTTAAACTCTTTGCTAACTTACCGAAACACCGGATGTGTATATGGTGTTCAAAAGGTTAATGGCTATAGAAGTGGGATAAAAAGACCATCAGGCGCCGGTCAAAGAATCATTATCTTACACATTGGCAGTGAAGATGGATTTCTACCGGGTGCAGAAAAATGCTTTATTGGCGAGAAAAAGAAAGCTAAAGCTGATTATCACCAAGAAATGAATCGACAACATTACGAATAGTGGTTCAGACATGTATTGCCCATAATACCAGCGAGATCTGTTACCATAATAGACCAAGCCCCATACCATACTATGTTGAATCCTAATTTCAGAAATCCAACTACAGCATGGAAAAAAGGGGATATCATCAGGTGGCTTCAGGAAAGGAATGTGTCGGTATCTGAAAGTTATACCACATTTTCATCGATGACCAGACCACAGCTTTTACAACTGTCACGTCCTTATCATTATCAGAGACCTTATCTGTTAGATTCTTTGGTACAATAAATTAGGGGCGATTAGGTAAAACTGCTTTGGTTACCAGTTGCACACTGTGAATTTAACGCAATTGAATTAATATGGGCCTATGATAAAAATAAAGTGACAAGGAACAACAACACCTATAAAATTAACGACGTTCTCAATTTTTTGTCGCAATGCAATTGCTTCAGCTACGCCACAAATCTGGTAAAATTGCGTCAGACATGTTAAGAAAACTGAAGATAAATACATAGAAAAACGCCATCTTGTTGATACCGCCATGTACGAGGAATACCTTAATATGGATGAAAGCGATGACAGTTTCTCATCAGATGATCTCTCTGAAACGATGTTTGGTGAAAATGAAGTTTATGAGAGAGATGTTCCGTTAATTCCTGATTACTTTTTGGAACAGACAATGAGAGAAGAGATAATAGAAGAAAGAACAGAAATCACTAATATTAACGATGCCGATGTTCCTGGGACTTATCGGATTAATGATTGTAGCAGGAAAAAAGACAATACAGGAAAGATTACGCAAATAGGACTGAGTTGAATTTTATTACGTTTGTAATTATTATTACCCTATTAGACGGAAATATACGATCGATAATCGTATACGCTACTCATCGTTTATTTAAATAGTTATCTACTACATGTTACTTGATTGATGTACAAATTGATGTATATCTATTAATAATCTGTACGCATCGAAGAGGGCACTACGGCTTCATTTATGTTAAGTAAGGCGCGCCAATAAATCGACTCATTTTCTGTATAGTGGTGGTGCAGTAATATTATTGGTATGTCAGATCATCAATATTACCATCGCATCTATCACCGCAAGAAATTACTAGCACTTCTTCAACACAAGCAAGCAAACACATCAATGCTTACAAATTTCAGCAAGAATTTCGTTCTTGTCAAATGTCAGCAGAAGATGCCCTACTGGTTGAAGCTAAATTAACTAGACGTTAATACAATATTATTAGAATGCAAAATCCTGACATATACCCATCCTACAAAGTTGTACAGTAAGAAAAAAAGAAATGCTATCCAAATAAGGGAAGTGTAAATATCACAACGACTTCAGCAGAAGTTGAATTACAAGCTTTGCTAAATTATACCGTAGAATGTTTGATTACTGTACAAAAGGATGTCATAAATTCACTAGATGAAAAGGATTTGAGTAAACTTTGTTTAATAATCAAGTGGGGGTTTGATGGTAGCTCCGACCACAGTTTCTATAAACAAGCGATTCATCTGTGTTTATAACATCGCTTTGTACCGCTTCGTTTGGTACGCGATAGCTCTGAGATAATTTGGCAAAATCCTCGCCCATCATCTACAAGATTCTGCAGACCTTTAAAAATCAACTTTATTAAGGAGTCTTCAAAAGTTTCCATGCTAGAAAAAAATAGAGTTGATAAAGAAATCACAAATATACAGAACAGTGATTTAACTTATAATGGAAAATTAATTTCAGTTAGTCATAAGCTAATTTTTTCTATGATTGATGGCAAAGTATGCAATTCCCTAACTGAAACTTCTTCTACCCATAAATGTTATATTTGTGGCGCAACATCGAAAAGCTTTAATTCTATTGATCAAATGATTAATAGAGAAATAAAATCTAATTACATATATACAATTCGGGATGTCAGTCGTACATGGTTGGATTCGATTTTTTGAATGCCTTTTGCATTTATCTTATAAAATCCCCATAAGAAGTGGCAAGTTCGAGGTTCAAAAACTCTTTAGGGACAAATGTGGTTTAATGGTAAATATACCCAAAGCCAGGATTTGGAAATACAAATGATGGTAACACTGCAAGACGTTTCTTTGTTAATCCAGAGCTTTCTCCGGAAATTACGNGTTTCATGGAATACCATACAAAACTGAATTTTTAAATTTCAACTCCGTTTGTTTGAAATATATTGTAAAAAATGTAATATATACTACAAAAAAGATAAACCTGTAAATCTTGTAAATAAAACTTGTTATACTACTGAAAATATTTTTTTTTATTTTAATTATTTATGTGTTCAAAATTTATAAAAGAAAAAAAATGGATAATTTTTTGACAGAAAATTTCAAATTAATGTGTGCATGAAGTGGTTAAGTAAAGTGAGCCAATAAATCGACTCACTTTCTGTATAGTGATGGTGCACAGTAATATAATATGGTTATTGGTATGTCAGATCATCAATATTACCATCGCATCTATCACCGCAAGAAATTACTAGCACTTCCTTCAACACAAGCAAGCAAATACATGAATGCTTACAAATTTCAGGAAGAATTTCGTTCTTGTCAAATGTCAGCAGAAAATGCTCCACTGGTTGAAGCTAAACTAGACGTCAATACAACATTATTAGAATGCAAAATCCTGACATATACCCATCCTACAAAGTTGTACAGGAAAAAAAAAAGAAATGCTTTCCAAATAAGGAAAGTGTAAATATCACAACGACTTCAGCAGAAGTTGAATTACAAGCTTTGCTAAATTATACCGTAGAATGTTTGATTACTGTACAAAAGGATGTCATAAATTCACTAGATGAGAAGGATTTGAGTAAACTTTGTTTAATAACCAAGTGGGGGTTTGATGGCAGCTCCGACCACAGTTTCTATAAACAAGCGATTCATCTGTGTTTATAACATCGCTTTGTACCGCTTCGTTTGGTACGCGATAGCTCTGAGATAATTTGGTAAAATCCTCGCCCATCATCTACAAGATTCTGCAGACCTTTAAAAATCAACTTTATTAAGGAGTCTACAAAAGTTTCCATGCTAGAAAAAAATAGAGTTGATAAAGAAATCACAAATATACAGAACAGTGATTTAGCTTATAATGGAAAATTAATTTCAGTTAGTCATAAGCTAATTTTTTCTATGATTGATGGCAAAGTATGCAATTCACTAACTGAAACTTCTTCTACACATAAATGTTATATTTGTGGCGCAACATCGAAAAGCTTTAATTCTATTGATCTAATGATTAATAGAGAAATAATATCTGATTACATATTTACAATTCGGGATGTCAGTAGTACATGGTTGGATTCGATTTTTTGAATGCCTTTTGCATTTATCTTATAAAATCCCCATAAGAAGTGGCAAGTTCGAGGTTCAAAAACTCTTTAGGGACAAATGTGGTTTAATGGTAAATATACCCAAGCCAGGATTTGGAAATACAAATGATGGTAACACTGCAAGACGTTTCTTTGTTAATCCAGAGCTTTCTCCGGAAATTACGAAGGTAGACATTAATTTGATTAAAAGAATGCACGTCATTTTAATAGCTGTATTATCTGGTCTGTTGTGAAATTTTGCGCAACATTTTAAACAACGACAGTAATCTACTAAAAAAATTCACTCAAACGAGAAATATGCCAAGGAATAAAATAATATTATACATTTTTTTATTATATTTGTAAATTGTAGTTATGTTGAAATTTAAGAAATATATTATGATACTATTTTTATTTTTTATGAAAATTTTTTTTGTTTTATGATTATAAATGATAAGCAGTCTGCTCAAGCTCTGGACAAGTGGCTAGAAAGACTACTTAAATCTAAAAACCGTCCAAAATAGATACAGAGAAGTAACGTCAAAGAAACAATTGCAGAGACAGGTAAAATGCAATAAATTGAAAAAAATCCCTGTGTCTACATATAAACTGACTTTATATGTAGACACAGAACTTTCAACGTCTTTTAACTTGCAACTTCATTTTATTTTATTTATGTTCTTTAAATAACAACTGGTATAATGGACTTTGATTATAGTTCAAAATATATAAAGGAGAAAAGGACAAACAAAGATAAGTTATTAGAAATTAACGAATTTATTATTACCAAGCCAGAACCGCAATAGATAATAATAAGCCGTCGACAGTCACAGATGGGCCTTATACATCCCAAGAAACGACAATAATTTATATCTGCTACTGTTGAAAGCATCTCACACTTGGGTGCACCACTTAATTATAAAGCAAACAGGTTGGTGAGCAGAAAAACAACAAAATGCGAGAAATAACAAAGAGCTGTTTTAATTTGAACATTTTTAGTAAGAAAAACTCCAATATCCAAGTTTGACTTGGAACCATAAGAAAGTAATCTTAATTTTCGACAAAGCATCTGAATCCAATATTATCGTAATACCAATATTAAACCAAAGTTTATATTTTATAAGCCGATCTTGGCTCATATCTTGTAATCATAATGGTGAAATTTTATGTCATATTTTGAAATATATCTTGAAAATATCTCATCTCAACCTCTTTGGCCAAGATGAGTCCTTTTCCAAACAATTATTATGGACATTGAGTATCATGACTTAAGCATGATAGCATCATGAGATTCTTGAAAATTCAAAACATTGTGTGAAAATTAGATTATTAATATTTGGGTTCTTGGTTATAATTTTAAAAATGATGCTTATACAGAAGTTTGAACGACTCATAATAATTATGCGGAGAGTTGCATGATATCCAGTACACAGAAAAATAAGCAGAGTTATAAGGATGAGTTACATTTTGGGAGTTTTAATAAAACAAATGATCAAAAAAGCAGATCCCAAAATGTATAAGTTGCACGTACACATGCGTTCCACAAAGAATTATTCAAACACTCTGGCAATTATTCTTGGTAGAACGCTTGTGTACCTATCCATAGCACAGCCATAAAAGACTGGTTCCTAAACTACACATCACAAATACGAAATCATTGAGATATATTAACAGCATATTGGGGAAATAATACACAAATTTATGTTGGTCTGATAATATCCCACATGTGACAAATATTTACTATTAATGTAATGACCCCAGTTTAGTTGCACAATGACTGACCATCTGAAATCCATGCAATTCACACACAAGCTGAAACAAAAAGAAAAACATTAATTAATTGAAGAAATCAAACTAAAAGTGTAGTATGTTAAAATTGAATTTTTTCTTGTATTCCCACCATCTTTATTATGGAAATCAAGCTTATTTGCCATGAATAACATTTAAAAAAAATATCATAGTTAAAATCCTTGCAAAAAAAAGAAGATCCCAAAATTCATCTCTACTAAAAAGCTGTACTTATTAAGAGGTAAGCTCTAATATCTCATTAATAATATCATAATATCTCACAAATTTATAACACACATAGTTTAATTGAATAAGTAACACTTTGTAATATACTAATGTTATACAAAAAATCTACATTACTGTTGAACCTCATTTCTTAATCATTTACTTAAACCAGTTGCATAAGAAAAAAATAAGAAGACTGACAGATTCAACTTTACAATTATCTAGTAGTGCTCTAATTAACCCATTTGCATCATACAGAAGAAATTACTAGTTGAGCAGAAAATGAAATTTTGTAGTAAAACCAATGATAATAAATGGTACCTTGAATCTGAGAGCAATAAAAAACATAGATAAGTCTTCTGGAGAGTGGAGAGCAAATAAAAATGACTGGATGTCGCAAAATTTTATAATGCAGGTAGCCACAATAGAGACTTTAATCATCCTCACTTAAAAATGGTGTTTTTTCCTCCAAATTATACATCATTGATCCAACCACTAGATCAAGGAATCATTCCAACACTTAAGGCATCCTACATACGACTAGCATTCAAAAATTTTTGAAAGCGTGGAAAATGAAAAAACGTGAAGCTTACTCAAGGTTTTTAGGTTGTGTTGCAATTATAGATTTGGCTTGCAGGGAATTAAACAGTCTACATTTCATGCGTGTTGGAAACTGTTCTTACCACAAATGGTTCAGAGACGAAACTTTATTCCATTTGAGGAAACATGGATGTTTGGGAACTATTTGAAGAAAAATTTTTAATTGAACTACTAAATATCTCCACTTCCAATACCTATAGCTGATGATTCCAAAAATATTTATAATATTGCATCGGTTGCTTACTTAAATTTAATTGATGTGCAAGAAGGAATAGCTTTAGCCAAAAAATTTGAAAATTTTTTTATTGAAATTCTGAAAGAATTGCAAAATTGAAACAGACAGGTAATTGCAACTACGTCAAATAACTTTTGTAATGGTGGAGAAATAACTAGAGAAGAGCAGTTTCAAGCAACTTGGAAAAAAAAAATAGATTAGCTGTAATTTCTAATGAGAGTCATGATGAAATTAATGGTGTGATCCTGATAAGCAGTTTCTATTTATTTTATAATAATAATTATTACAAATATATTTCATATTTTTGTTTTTGACTTAAAACTCGAAGTTAAATTACTTGTTCATTCCTATTTTTTATTGAAACCAAGCTATCATAAAATTTTACACCTTAATACTTGATTTCGATATAACAATAATAGACATCGCCTTGATTTATGCTAAAGACTCAAAACGGAATTTAGTTATGGTTACAACCTAAAAGACATGCAAAATATATACAACAATATAAATTATTCTACCCCCAACTCCAGCATACCGAAAATCCACATCGCCGCCTAACTAACATTAACTCATAAAAGATTATTACTTTATCTTGTTAAAATTAAACTATTACCTGTTAAACTGAGGAATTGTCTTCAAAAGTTAGACTACAGCAAAACCAGTGTTAGATATTGAATTACCATATAAACAACGCAAGTTATGGCGAAAGGGTAAGATTGTAAAGGTAATAAGTCACTCAACTTATTTAATACAACGTGATAATGACGTAAAATTTGTTCATGTTAATGACATTAGATCTAACCCTTATGGTAGTATTAATATTGAGACTAGTAATAAGAATGAGATTAATAAAGAGAAGGATGTAACAACATCTAATGAAACATGTTTTAAAGAACTAGGTAATGCAAATGAAAATATTATTGTCAACACTCCGATATGTAATGAAACACCAAAGTCACCTATAGCTGATATCGAGAGACCTGTTATAGAAGAACCGACACTTACAACCTAACCGTCCGTTTTTATTAATAAATCTCCTAAGACAAATAATGTAGTTACTAAGTCGGGAAGAATTGTTAAACCGCCTAAAAAATTAGACTTGTAAACTTGTTTTTAAACAGGGGGGGAAATGTTGTGAATGTGACTAGACTACCAAATGTACATTAATAAAACAGTTAGACAATAGGTGGCGCGAGATCGATAGCAAGTCACTCAGAAGCGTCATACAAAATGGTGTGTGTAAAGGTAGCCACAGACCAAGGTTTATATATAAGAGGTTGTCTAGGTTCGTACGCAATCATACTGCGCATTACGTCACATGTGGAAAATAATACCGCCAAGCAATTCAAATTAAACAAAGGTATGGAGCACCACATGGCCATGAGGTTGCGTGCGCAATCCGTGATCGCTTACGTCACGAAATACTCCTGCTCTTGCCCCTCGCCCACAAACTAAAATCAAAGTATTGCAGCATAGGAACTTAGACAACCTTTAATATATAAACCTTGGCCACAGACGTCGTTCTTTTTTGGCAGTTTTAACCGCACGGGTAAAACTGTACGGGTAAAACTGTCGGTGTGTGGCCAAAAACCGTCCTTCTAGCCGGCGTTCAAAAATATCTGCTGCAGCTTGATTTTAACCGTCCGTTTTCAAACGTGTTCGTTCAAGTCGGTTCGTGTGTGTGACGACGCAGTTAAGAAGGACCGGTTTTGTCAGTGTCGACTCTGTCCTCGATTAACCGCAAGTTATTTTGTTGTTGTTTTCACAATGACAGACCTAAGGAGTTACAACAAACAATTTATAATTGAGTTCATAGAATTGTATAGAAGCCATCCGTGCCTTTGGAAAATTAAATCTACTGAATATTCTGATAGAGATAAAAAAAATAAAGCTTACGAAGACATGATAATAAAATTACAAGAAGTAGATAATTCCGCAACGAAAGAATCTGTTAAAAAGAAAATAGACTCTCTACGTGGTTGCTTCCGAAAGGAGTTAAAAAAAGTAATACAATCTAAGAAATCTGGTTCGGGGACTGATGAGGTGTACAAGCCCCATTTCTGGTACTACGAATATTTATTATTCCTTACAGACCAGGAAACACCGAGAGAAACAGTATCTAATATTGATGAAGAGACAAATAGCAATCAAGTAAGTAAAATAGTATATTAAGTATCCAGAACGGTAAGTACAATTTACCGGTCGACGACAATGTTTGGAGACTGAGCGACGCGTTACGTAGCGGAGCGAAGGTACAATATTGTCGGAAACCGGTTAATTGCTCACCGTTCGTGATGGTGACAACATTTTTTGCACGACCGAAATGAATATAAATAAAAAAATAATTTACTGAAATATATTGACATTTATAATTATTTTGTCAAAATTTGAATTAATTACGTTGCCCTGGTTTTATTTACAAATTATTAGTTATTTATTTATTTTAATATTCTAGGTTTCTGACAATGAATTAACTCCTGAGGTGCTAGAATCTCCCGGTATCTGTTCACCGCCCACACCTAGTTCATCTACATCACAAACATCTGTACGGCTATCTAAAGCATCGAAAAGATACAACAATAAATGCGACGAAGTGTTAGACGTGATTGGAAAAAATATATATATAATATATATATTGGAAAAGCATGGGCATCGAAATTAAGAGACCTCGATCCCCAACAAGCTATACACGCAGAAAAATTAATAAACGATATATTCTACGAGGCACAGATGGGAAATTTAAATCGCAATTGTTTTGTACAAACGCAACATGAACTTTATACAAACAACGTTCAGCCTCCATTCAACACTCGGCAATCACAAACCCATCCTTCATTCAACAACCAAACCTTATTAAACACTCAACTCCCATTTAACACTCAGCAATTATTACACACTCAACCCTCATTTAACAATCAGCCTCTATTCAACACTCAGCAATCATTGCACACTTACCCTCATTTAACACTCAATCCTCATTAAACAGTCAGCCTCTATTCAACACTCAGCAATCATTGCCCACTCAAACCTCATGCACACCTCTCAATAATACGCAACCAAATGAAAAATCGCGAACACCCAATAATCAAACGGCTGCAACTGCTAACATTGTCGTAGGAACCATCACAGCAGATTAGATGATGATAACGCTACGATTTCAGAAAAACTGAACGAAACAACGCCTAGTGTGTGGATATGGTCGTTGTTCGTGTTTACGCGTACAGTTTTACCCGTGCGGTTAAAACTGTCAAAAAAGAACGACGTCTGTGGCTACCTTAATAACCGTCCAACTTACTAAATAAAATAACTCATTAAACAGTGTTTGTGTCTTATTGAATAGTAATTCAATAATGGAAGTTGATTCCGGAGCGTGTAAGTCTGTTATACATGTAACGCATTACAAAAAGTATTTATGATATCTTTTGATAGTTCTTTTCCTCTGTTCATAAAAAGTGATTTTTCCAACCCTTTTTTTACCGTTTGGACACCTCTCTCGGCCAATCCATTACTTTGTGGATGGTAAGGTGGTGACTTTACCGGCCTCACTCCATTTGATTGACAAAAAGCAACCAATTCTGTTGAGTTAAAAGGTGGACCATTGTCCGAAAGAATTTCAACAGGTAAACCAAAAATTGAAAATATTTCCTTAAGTTTTCTAATGGTTTCCTTTGCAGTTGTCCCCTTATTCATCATTTTCACTTCTATCCACTTAGATTTATTGTCCACCAACAATAGAAAAGTGTACCCATCTTTGTGAAAGAAATCTATATTTACTCTGTAAAAATTTCTTGGTGAGCTAGACCATGGCAATAAGACACTTCCATTTGAAAAATTTTGAGTTTGCTGACATACATCGCACAATCCAATGAAACGTTCCACTGCCTCATTAATTCCTGGCCACCAACAGTACGACCTTAACTACATAGTCCCAATATGTTGTTCATGGAAAAGATTCAAAATCACATCTTGTAAAAATGGTGGAATTACAACTCTATTTCCCAACAACAAACAGTTGTTTTCTATTGTTAATTCATTTTGTTTTAGAAAATAAGGTTTCAAATTTTCATCCTTCACTGAATTTGGCCATCCTGATCTTGTATAATCTTTAACCCTGATTAAAGTTACGTCTTTCTCTGTTGCTTGTGCAACATTTCCCACATGAATCGGTAATTCATTCACCAAACAAAAGGAATGTATGTAATTCGGTATGTCAGTTTCAGTTTGTACTGGTAATCGTGATAAGCCATCTGCGTTTGCCACTAGTGCTCCTTTCTTGTATTCTATTTCATAGTCATACGCTGATAAAATAATAGCCCATCGTGTGATACGTGCTGCTGCAGTTATCGGAATACCTTTCTTTCTTCCGAACAAGAATTGTAACGGTTGATGGTCTGTAACCAATACAAATTTTCTGCCATAAATATATTTGTGAAATTTTTTTAAACCAAAAATTAATGCTCGATCCATGAATTAAAATGTCGTCTAAATAACATTTTGTTTTAGGTATTCCAGCCAAAATAGTATCCATTACGGCTTGAAATATCCCTGGCGCAGAGCTAATACCATATGTCAATCTGTTGTATCTAAACAATCCCAAATGAGTGTTGATTGTTAACAATTCCTTGGAACTATCATTAATACGCAATTGTTGGTAAGATCCTTTCAAATCGATAACCGTAAATATTTTACTACCCTCCAGGCATGCAAATATGTCGTCTGGTAATGGTAAAACGCAGTGATCACAATCAAGGATGCGATTCAACGTTTTTTTAAAATCTACACAAATTCTGATTTCATTACTTTGTTTTTTTGGAATTACTACTATAGGACTTGCCCATTCACTGTATTTAACTTTAGATAAAATTCCTGTTTCAATCATTTTCGCTATTTCTACTTCTACTTTTGGTTTTAGCGCGTATGGCATTTCATAAGCACGGTGAAAAATGGGTTTGACATTCTCTTTTAATTTCAATTCAGCTTTAAATTTGTTAATGTATGAATTACTATCTGAATCAAAAACTTTATAAAACTTAGATTTTAAGTCACTAACTAATTTTTGACATTTTTCATTTTCGGTATCCTCAACACTATATGTTAAATGAGTTGTCTGGTTTCAATATCCCCTAAATCCATTTTTGGGCAAAAATGAGATATATACGCCATCTGTTAGAAAAAGTTGTTTTCTATAAAATACTCGGCGTTTGTGTCGAAAATTTTCTATGTCATCACATTATGGCGTGTACATAGTTTACTTTTAATTACACCGTCACTACCGTTAGTATTATTGAGTTTCTCGCAATATATTGTAGAAAAATAGGTAAAGATCAAAAAATGTCTTGTTTGGATATAAAAGAAACGGATTCTAGTCACGCAAGAAAGCGATCGCGGAATCCAGAATGTTGGCAACTCAATATTAACAAAGTGAAGAGGTATTTTCAGTTTTATGTGTATTATTAAAACTTTCTATTGCTTATTTTTTTTAATTTCAAGGTACTCACCTATTAATTTGCCAGAGTACCCAAAGTGCAATCACTGCACAAAGTCTTACAGATGCAGTACTTTAAAAAATGATTATGTTTTAATGTTCCATAAGGCGTTTTATTCTAAATGTAATAAAATTCATCAGGATAATTTCATTATAAAATTTACCAACATAAAAAAGCCAAAACGTGTAAGAAACACCAAAGGTGGTCCATCCCGAAAGTATTCAACCACATACTGGGTTCAAACAAAAGAGAATAAGAGGGTTCCTGTGTGTAAGAGAACCTTTACCAAAATTTTGTGTATAGGTGGAGAGAGGGTAAAAGGAGTATTAAATCGGCACTTTCAAACAGCACAAATGGCAACTGAAAGACGAGGTGGTGATAAGAAGAAAAATAAATTTTTGCACATAAGACAAAAAGTTATTGAATTCATTAAGAAGTTTAAGCCGTTAGAGTCTCATTACTGCAGAGCGAAAATTGCTTGCCGGATTTATCTTGCTAGTGATCTAAATATCAGAAAGATGTGGAAGTTGTTTCAAAGGGAAAACACTGACGCTGAAAATATTAAAGAGAGCTACTTTCGATTTATTTTTAATACTTCCTTCAACATCGGCTTTGGATCTCCTAGCACCGATGTTTGCTCTAAGTGTCTTGAACTCCGGGAAAAAATTAAAAATGAAAAGGTTGCATCTATTAAAACAGTGCTAACTACAGAATACCGAATACATAAGCTCAGGGCCAAAGCATTTTTTGAACAGCTAAAAGAGAAACGGGACGGCCTTCTGACAATTTCTTTTGATTGTCAGAAAAACTTGGTATTGCCCAAAATACCAGATCAAAGTACCTATTATAGTAGACAACTGTACATTTACAACTTCACTACTATAGTGGGGCTCTCACATGCTCCGTTAACAAAAGATAATGTTAAAATTTTCACGTGGACTGAAGATGAACATGCCAAGGGCGCCAACGAAATCGCAAGCTGCGTCTTTTACACTTTAAACAATAGTAACTTAGAGGGAATAGATACACTTCGATTGGTCGCCGATGGATGCGGCGGCCAAAATAAAAATACCATTATGATATGTATGTTGTTCGAATGGCTAAGCAGTATAAGCAGTTCTATTAGAACAATCGAGCTGGTATTCCCAGTGGTTGGACACTCCTACATTCCACCTGACAGAGTTTTTGCTACTATCGAAAAAGAAATAAGAAAGAAGAAATTGTAATGCCAGAAGAATACATAAAATTTTCAAGAACATGCTACTGTTTTTAAACTTGGAAAAGATGTTCCCGATAGTGATTGGAAAGGTGCTGGTCAAAAAATCCTTAAGCCAGTGTCTCAATGGCATTTTAAATTTAACCAATGTAAGAGATATATTATACGACGTGGCAACAAAAACGCCATCACCATTCGAGGTGAGTTATCTTACCGTTCAGACACCGGAACATTCAAAGGAGTTTTTAGGAAAAACCAAACCGCCATGAATATCCAGCCAAAAGAAATTCCTACCGGAGTGAAACCAAAAGATCTGAAAATGAGAGATGTAAATAACTTGTTAAGCAAACATTATGGAAAGAACTGGAGAGCGGTAGAAAATTTGGCTTATTATAGAGATGTGTTGGGAAAATTTCAGAACAATAATATTCCTGGCGATTCCCGAGAAGACAGTGGGGACGAAGAGCCTAGTTTATGTGATTCAACCGAAAATATACCTGATGTTAGAGTTTAAGAGTTTTTTAAGTACAGTTTTTAAATAACATATCTTTCAAAAAATAAAGTTTCCTGTTATTAGCTACAAAGAGATTTGATTCACTTTCAATTCATGCCTAATCCATTTTGTTCAGATTCAAATGAGCCTTAATCCACAGTTTGGTAGCAAACGCAACCAAACACCATTTTTAAATCCACTTTGTGATTTTTATATCTATTTCAAAAGACGTGGTTATAGAATTTTTGAAACTTCAGTAAGTCTTCTAATAACAAATAAATTACGTTTGAATTAATAACGCCAAAATCATCCCAAAATACTTTTTTGCCGTTTTCTCAAAATCGAAAAATTTGGACTTAAGGGTATTTGAAACCAAACAACTCAAATTTAAGTTGTTATTTGATACCGTAACTTTTGAATCAAGGACATTTTGCCATTTCGGATTTAACACATTTAGCCAATTACGACCCAACAGCGGTACAAAAGTATTTTTACACTCTATTACTATTAAAGGTAAACCAAAACATTTATTTCTATATTTTACGGCAACTATTAATTCGCCTATAATAGAGACATTTTCTCCTGTTATTACTTTTAATTTTATGTTTACTGGTTTTAACACTACTTTACCAAAATATTTTTTGTAATGCGTTACATGTATAACAGACTTACACGCGCCGGAATCAACTTCCATTACAACATTGTTTTCATTTAAACTTAATTCAACCTTTATTATTCTTCGTTTTTTCACCACTTTGGTATGAATTCAACTTCCTCTTCTACCTCAACTAGTCCCAATTCCAACGAATCGTTCTCAACATCATCTTCTCAAACTCGATCCTCTTCCTCGGACTGACCCTCTTCTGTATTTAATGAATAAACACGGTTCCTGCATAATGAAGACTTGGCAATATGACCCATTTGATGACATGCATAACATTTCCAGTTCATAGCTGGACACAAATTGTTTATGTGTACTCGTAGACGCCTGTTACACTTTTTCTTTGTTTTTGAAAATGAACTATTTTCTTTTGACGAAACTTTCGAATTGTATGTTGGCGGAGTTTTAAAGTTCTTTGTACTTTTCTTGTCAAACATACTTATCTTATTTGCTGCATAACTTTCTGTACCCATGACTTTCAATTGTCCATCAGCCAACTCTGAGCTTAGAGCCATGTCAAAAGCTTTTTGAAATGTTAACTCCTCCTCCAATAATAATTTTTGCTTTACATTGTCGAGTCTCATTCCAACCACTATTCTATCCCTCAAGCAATCTTCCAGAAATGCTCCAAATTCACAATACTTTGCTAGATTCTTTAATCTGGCCACATAAGCTTTTATATCTTCATTCTGTTCTTAAGTTGCAATATAAAACTTATAACGTTCCGATATCACGAGTTTTTTTGGTGTAAAATGATTTAATAAAGCATTTTTTAATTCAACATACGTCTTAGATGTAGGTGAATTGGGTGACAACAAATCTTTTAACACAATGTACGTTTCACCACCAACCAATGTTAATAACAATGGTACTTTTTTTTCTGCTTTTACATCATTACATACGAATAGTTGTTCTAAACGCTCTATATAAGTTACCATATCACCTTCTTTTGGATTAAATCTCTCAATTTGCCCAATCATTGGCATTTTTCTTTCTTCTTTTTTTATTAGACAAGCACGTAGGTCTTCCCTTCTCATCGGCAAATTATTAGATATTGAATTACTTCATTCAATTAGACACAAACACTGTTTAATAAGTTATTTTATTTAGTAAGTTGGACGGTTATTACACACACCATTTTTGTATGACGCTTCTGACTCTTCTGAGTGACTTCACATTCACAACACATAGTTGGTGTCATTGTATTGTTAATCAAAATAACTTTCTTGAAGGTGGTTTGTGATTTCAGTGCATGGTTAACTGGTGCACAACTGAGACAAATCGGTACTATCTGTACTTTTAGAGGGTTGGCATCATCTAAAATGTGCAAAAAAAAAAAATTAGTTAAACAAAAATTTATCTTACATCTTGTACATATAAATGTTTGATTGTAATTAGAAGTAAATGTCCTCAATGTACCTATTTTCTATCTATCAGAATGATAATTTTAAAAGGGAACACAATTTATGAATACATTGCAATATATTATTATTGTTTATAAACTGTACAACTACAATTCAAGCTGAGGATGCGTGATGTACCTTTGACATCATGGGAACTGATAAATAAAGTAGTATTACAGATCATGCAATTTTGTCTGTGATTATGAAGCCAAGCGAATTGTAAAGAAGTCACACAGTTTAATGCCGAAAATCAAAAAGTTAAAAAAATATTCATTTTGCTTCATTTTTGTATTATGACAGTGTTTAATAAAGGCGTTTATGATTATTATTATAAAATTATTATAAACGGTTTATTGAAAAATTCCTGAAACATGTGTAAAGATTTAAATTTTGTTTAGATATTTTCTCAAATAGAGCTTATACGGTTTAATAATAAATATCAAATAAAATTAATGATTTAAATGAATAAATAAAAAATTAATAATATTTTTAATTTATAATAAAATTAAGTTAAATATTAAGTTTACCTTGGGCAGCTCCTAAACAATTGATGAAGATATCAAAAATTATTTGCTGAACTTCTGGTATTCTGATTTTTTGTTCATCCAAATTTGGCCCAATGGTGTAAAGTTTACTCTTCAGATATGCCTAAAGGAAGAAGTTCGGCGGAGTCAAATCTGGTAATAATATAGGCCACTCAATTGGCTCTCTTCTCCTACAAAAGATGAATCCATCGATTGAGAAATATAGTGTGGTGGCGCGTCATCTTGTTGGAGAAATCACTGCCGCTGGAATTGAATTTATTTATTTAGATAGGATGCAAACAGGATTAATCCCAAAGTAGCATACATGAAAAATAACAAAAGTAAACTCTAAAAAGAAAGCTTATATAAACTATAAACGTATAAGGAGATATAATAAAACATATACCACTTTATTAAGATCTGTCTGAAAATAACTTACTGGGAGACATTAGGTTTGTTCCAACAAGCCGTCGAACTCGTCCGTTAGTCGTCAAATGCAATCGCACATGTCAAGTAATGTCGTCACATTTCAGCGGATTTCATAGCATTATTTAACTGTGCGATTGCATTTGACGAGTCCACGACGAGTTAAACCGCTGGTTGGAACAAACCTTTTATTAAGGAGGCAGTGTATAATAACTTGCGAGTTCTACGACAAAGTATAAAAAATTATGTAACAAAAGTCGCAAATATCGCTCATAACTGTCAGACATTCCGCCGCATGTAGCCGAACACGCACATCCGGTAAATAAATGTTTGTTAATTCAATCAAAAACTGTTGCTGTAATCAAACATTTGTAAGAGACCAATTGATAGATAATTGATCACTTTACACGAAAATACTGCCCGTTTGGCAAAATTAGCAGTGGAGTTGAAAATATTTTTAAAAAAGGGCTTTTTATTGCAGATAATGTTTAATTTTAAAGAAACTTTGACCCGCTATATCTCGTAAAGGAGGCATTTGCGACCCCATGTATATTAAAACTTTTCAATATACAATTTTTGATGTATTACCTGCCCTAGAAGTCTGTCAGCGGTTTTTTGAATCACCCTGTATAGAAATTTATATTCACAACAATTTTATTAGGTCTATTTGTAACGTTGTAAAGTTAATTGTTTTTGAGATTTTTGTTCCCTTTATTTTAGTCGAATTTGCATGATTTACCTATTACTAAAAGTATAAGCCATTGGCATTACTTTTTTTTTATTGTGCATTATGGATACTAGGAACCTTTATGAGTATGATTTTTATTGTTCTCTGAATCTGTGATAATGATCTTACCCACTTTTATGTAAAAGTGTTTTTACATCGTTTCGTTTTTTGAATGACGCTTTGAATATAGTGGAAGCGTCTAAATCAAAGAATTTGCGGGATGTTGTGCTATTTCCACCAGATTCAGGTGATCAAGGAATTCAAAGCGACGAGAAAGAAATTGACGATGAAAATTTCAAGATGCTGATGAAGTAGAATTACATGAAAGTGATATCAGTGAGGAAGAATCCGCTGAAAGAGAATCGTATACAAAATACAATTACAGTGGACAAAAAATGAAGTTGTAGCTATCCCTACAAATGCAGTTGAACCGGAAAAGGTAGGAATTGAGACCGCTGGAAAATCAGAATATGAAAGACAGAAGAGCATATCTTTACGCAACAAGACATAAAAAACACAATTTCGAGATCTTTGACAAAAGATTTCTCCGTTTCTTGGATTGCTGTTGATCAGTGGCTATCACAATTTTCCCAAAGAAAATGATTATTGGGCAACAACGAAAAACATGAACTTGGAACTTTTACAAACACTTGAGCATCAATGAAACAATGGTTCCTTATCAAAAACATCATTCTGCGAAGATTTTCATAAAAAACAAACCGATTCAGTTTGGTTTCAAAATATGGATGCTGCGTAGACCGATGGTTATGCATATAACATGGACATATATTGTGGGATATTACTTGGACAAAGTAAAGAACCATTGGGAACACGAGTCGTTAAAAAAAAATTTGTTTGTTGTTGAAAAACCTGCTCAACATGTAAATTACAGTTTAGTAGCAAAGTTGAAGTTCTTTGCAAACTTCACCACAATTTTTTTATAGACCGGTTGCGAAGATATTGATATTTAAAATGAGGGGCCTTAACTTTTGACATGTATAGTGGCAAATGTAAAGTCTAAGAAGTAAGATATTTTTAATTTAGTCAGATTGGCTGTGGAAAAAAGCTATTAAAAAGATGAGCCTTCACAGAAATACTAAGAAAATGCTTATTGGCATTTTTGGTGACGTCACATCGAAATTTTTAAATGCATTTTCGTTAAATTTTACCCTTTACCGCCCCTTTCTTATTGTAACGACTTATTTAAATAGTTTCCCGTGAATTAAAAAAATTTGTCGATTTTGAAAAATTGAAGAATAGACATGTCGCTTAAAAATCGATGATTTTCTTTTTACCGACGTAAAAATGACTAAAAAACACGTTAAAAATAAAAAGAAAGTGCGGAAAAGTGAAGAACTTACCGAAAAATGAGTTTGAAATTTCGACGTGACGTCACAAATTGTGACGTCACGAACCATGCTTACGACGTATTTTTCACAACACAATGGTTAAAATTGGGCCAATAAATAATTTGTTCCATATCCACGTGCACAACACGTATAATGTAAGTAAAAATAAATCATTTTCTCAAATTTAATGAAAGAATTAACAACTTTTTAGTCTTATAACGCATATTTTCGGATGAAACACCTTTGGTTCTCGACGTATAACGACTAAAACGTGCTAAAACGCGTTTATTAACCATCTGCCTGCTCGTGTGTTTATCCTCCCCCTACTCCGAACCCGACCCGACATTTCGGGATTTCGCAGTTGTTTAAATGTTAATTAACCTAACTCAAAATCTAATTTCTACACAAAATTCGGAAATAAATCAATAATTTAAGTAGATCCGAATGTAACGCTTTTTTTTCAACAAGACCATACCAATATTTGACCCACACTCTTCTCCATATCTAATCCGACATTTGGGAAATTCTCACTAATTTAAACGTAAATTAATCTAATTCAAAATATAATTTCTACACAAAGTTCGGAAATAAATCAGTAATTTAGGTAGATCCGAATGTAACGCTATTTTTTCAACAAGACCATACCAATATTTGACCCACACCCTTCTCCATGTCGTACCATGTTCTCCATGTCTGACTAATTTAAACGTAAATTAATCTAATTCAAAGTCTAATTTCTACACAAAATTCGGAAATAAATCAGTATATTAGGTGGATCCGAATGTAACGTTTATTTTCAACAAGACTATATATCAATATTTGACCCACACCCTTCTCCATACCTAATCCTCACGAGCAGGTATATCACTCGAAAATACGATAATACTAACAAGTTGTTAATTCTATCATTAAATTTGAGAAAATGATTTATTTTTACTTACATTATTCGTGTTGTGCACGTGGATATGGAACAAATTATTTATCGGACCAATTTTAACCATTGTGTTGTGACAAATACGTCGTAAGGAAGGTTCGTGACGTCACAAAACGTGACGTCACATCGAAATTTCAAAACTTATTTTTTGGTAGGTTTTTCACTTTTCCGCACTTTTTTTTTTATTTTTAACGGCTTATTTGAGCGATTTCACACCGGTAAAAAAAAAATTGGCGATTTTTAAGCGACATATCTATTCTTCAATTATACCTTGGATTCTTCATATACGATTTTATTATCATATTTTTTATTGCAATTTCTTAGGTAATCGCGTTTTTGAGAAAAATCTCAAAGGAAAAATCACTGCTACAGGTGGTCTGAATCACCCGGTATAATATAATAATACAAGTTGCTATTCATTATAAATTTGTCTTTATAAAAATTCTTACCCTCTTTTTTGTATTTATTCGATGACAACTGATGCAATATTCAGACATTTCTACAACGTTGTTTTTGAAAAAACTGTTAACACCACAAAAGAACATTCTTCGAGGCCAACTCACCTTGGAATAGAATTGAATGGAATGGAATGGAAAGCAGAATGGCGACAATGGCAGAGCTCAACGAAAAAGCTCATGCGTTACTGAAACGACATCTAGTGGCAAACATAGTTTGGTTTTCCAGTAATAGATGGCACGGTTTAAATTATTATAATTTTTAGATACAATTTATTTTATTAGTACTCTATTTGTTAAAAGCAGCATTTAATTAAACAGATAATTTTATTTTAAGTATGATATAGTTAAGGGGGCGTTTAAATGGTCATTTTTATATGTGCCCGTAGAGGTTAGTTTTTACTCAAGTTACAACTTCATGGCATATTATTATGGAAAAGTGAATATATAGAATTGAAGTACACACATTTTTCTACACATTGAAGTATTCCGCGTTGTAAAATTGCTGTATTTGTAACATAAAAAAATCTTAAATTTTGTCATAAATAGCACTTGATGTAAAGCGACTTTTACGGGAAATTAAACACTAAATTGAGACGCCAACGCTTCAAGGATGCTCCTAGAATGTAGGAAGAAATTACGTGTAACTAGACGTAAAATTGAATTGTTATTACTTCAAAATTTGGGTAAAATGGAAAATGTGCGATTTCGTCAAAATATTGGGAATTCGTAAAGAAATCTGTATATATCTGTAAAACAAAGCTTTGTCATCCGCCTCATAGATGACGCTAATTATTAAAATTTCTTTTTTTTAATGCAGTTTATTAAGTTGTTTTCGGGTATTATGCATATATTAATTGTATGGATGTTTAAAAAACAATATTAATCCAAAATAAAAATTAAACATAGTAACATAAATGTGTACTATAATAGTGTTATAGAATATAGAAAATAGAATATGAAAAATTAAATAACATTAAGCAAAAGGTGTTAATTAAACGTTTTTTCTGAATATTCGGTCCGTACTGTTATGTGGGTGTTGGTCAAACCAAATAAAAGACGAGTGCGGGAAGTTAGCCCCCCATTTTTTGATTTTTAAATTTTTCATTGTTGTTCTTAATTGTTCTAGAGTTATGGAATTTCTACATTGTGCCAAAGCGGCAAGTAGAGAAAATAAAAACTCGGCGAGAAAAACCGAAAAAACGGTTTTTTTGACTAGCCCCCCATTTTTGGAAATATCAGATTTTCTTTGTTGTTCTGGGTTGTTCTAGTTATTGTTCTAGAAAATCAAAATTATGGGATACATCATTACGAAGTTATAACTAAAAATAGGTTTGGCTGCCAAAATGTCTAGCTGGTTGCTGTGACCATAGTTTTTCTATTTTCAATTCCATATTNACTATACCAATATTTGACCCACACCCTTCTCCATACCTAATCCTCACGAGCAGGTATATCACTCGAAAATACGATAATACTAACAAGTTGTTAATTCTATCATTAAATTTGAGAAAATGATTTATTTTTACTTACATTATTCGTGTTGTGCACGTGGATATGGAACAAATTATTTATCGGACCAATTTTAACCATTGTGTTGTGACAAATACGTCGTAAGGAAGGTTCGTGACGTCACAAAACGTGACGTCACATCGAAATTTCAAAACTTATTTTTTGGTAGGTTTTTCACTTTTCCGCACTTTTTTTTTTATTTTTAACGGCTTATTTGAGCGATTTCACACCGGTAAAAAAAAAATTGGCGATTTTTAAGCGACATATCTATTCTTCAATTATACCTTGGATTCTTCATATACGATTTTATTATCATATTTTTTATTGCAATTTCTTAGGTAATCGCGTTTTTGAGAAAAATCTCAAAGGAAAAATCACTGCTACAGGTGGTCTGAATCACCCGGTATAATATAATAATACAAGTTGCTATTCATTATAAATTTGTCTTTATAAAAATTCTTACCCTCTTTTTTGTATTTATTCGATGACAACTGATGCAATATTCAGACATTTCTACAACGTTGTTTTTGAAAAAACTGTTAACACCACAAAAGAACATTCTTCGAGGCCAACTCACCTTGGAATAGAATTGAATGGAATGGAATGGAAAGCAGAATGGCGACAATGGCAGAGCTCAACGAAAAAGCTCATGCGTTACTGAAACGACATCTAGTGGCAAACATAGTTTGGTTTTCCAGTAATAGATGGCACGGTTTAAATTATTATAATTTTTAGATACAATTTATTTTATTAGTACTCTATTTGTTAAAAGCAGCATTTAATTAAACAGATAATTTTATTTTAAGTATGATATAGTTAAGGGGGCGTTTAAATGGTCATTTTTATATGTGCCCGTAGAGGTTAGTTTTTACTCAAGTTACAACTTCATGGCATATTATTATGGAAAAGTGAATATATAGAATTGAAGTACACACATTTTTCTACACATTGAAGTATTCCGCGTTGTAAAATTGCTGTATTTGTAACATAAAAAAATCTTAAATTTTGTCATAAATAGCACTTGATGTAAAGCGACTTTTACGGGAAATTAAACACTAAATTGAGACGCCAACGCTTCAAGGATGCTCCTAGAATGTAGGAAGAAATTACGTGTAACTAGACGTAAAATTGAATTGTTATTACTTCAAAATTTGGGTAAAATGGAAAATGTGCGATTTCGTCAAAATATTGGGAATTCGTAAAGAAATCTGTATATACCTGTAAAACAAAGCTTTGTCATCCGCCTCATAGATGACGCTGATTATTAAAATTTCTTTTTTTTAATTCAGTTTATTAAGTTGTTTTCGAGTATTATGCATATATTAATTGTATGGATGTTTAAAAAACAATATTAATCCAAAATAAAAAACGAAACATAGTAACATAAATGTGTACTATAATAGTGTTATAGAATATAGAAAATAAAATATAAAAAATTAAATAACATTAAACAAAAGGTGTTAATTAAATGTTTTTTCTGAATATTCGGTCCGTACTATTATGTGGGTGTTGGTCAAACCAAATAAAAGACGAGTGCGGGAAGCTAGCCCCTCATTTTTTGATTTTTAAATTTTTCATTGTTGTTCTAGATTGTTCTAGAGTTATGGAATTTCTACATTGTTCCAAAGCAGCAAGTAGAGAAAATAAAAACTCGGCGAGAAAAACCGAAAAAACGGGTTTTTTGACTAGTCCCCCATTTTTGGAAATATCAGATTTTCTTAGTTGTTCTGGGTTGTTCTAGTTATTGTTCTAGAAAATCAAAATTATGGGATACATCATTACGAAGTTATAACTAAAAATAGGTTTGGCTGCCAAAATGTCTAGCTGGTTGCTGTGACCATAGTTTTTCTATTTTCAATTCCATATTACAAATATATACTTATTATACCTAAAGCAATCTGGAATAGCTATTATTTTCACTAGAACAACTCTATAAAGGACACTTTACTCTTTGAAAATTAAAGTTTTTGGAAGTTTTAGTCAGTAATTCTTGCGTCAGTGATTTTAAATTACACAATAAGAATTAAAACACATAGAACAATCTAAAATAACTCAAACTTTGCTGTTTCAAATTTGTCTAGATGTGTCCAACCCGCATAGAGATATATTTATATATACTATACATATATTTATTATATATTTATATACCCTGCTCAAAAAAATTAGAGGAACACTTTTCGAAATCTGTAACTTTTTAAATAATAGTTCTAGACAAATCAAATTTGGTTTACTTCAACGGCATATATTTAACTAAAGAAAATTACAAAAACAATGTTACAACTCGTAGTTACTTCTAAGTTACACTTAAAAATATAAATTAATAACGCAAAACAAAGTGGAAAAATGTCAAGTATGCTTTGAATTCGCGAATGAAAGCCTACTAAAGATAACAAATGAATTCAGTTGTCAATTTTCGTTGATTAGAAGCGTCATGAGGCATCTTAGTGAAGTGCTGTCGCCCTTATTTAGCATGGCCACTCTGTTCGACATATTAGCAGAGATCTTCTAGTTTCTGGAAGAAACATATACTGGCCAACATGTTAGAAGAGCTGGACAAGGTCGAAATCGAAAAACTACTCAAAATCATGTCCGATTTCTTGTCCTTTATTGTCTACGTACGCGTACTGACACAGTACGAGATGGTTTTTGACGGTCGAGTATGTGTCCTGGTGAACGCTACGCAGCCGCTACTATACAGGAAGTGGATAGATTTGGTCGGGGATCAGTTATGGTTTGGGCTGGAATCAGTATAGACAACAGAACTGATATTATTGTTGTTCCTGGTAGACTAAATGCCATGAACTACATCGAAAACATCTTGGAGAACTATATGGTGCCTGCTTCATATGGGGTCGGTCAAAATTTCATTCTAATGTAGAACAATGCAAACCCACATACCGCCGGCATCATCAGAAACTTTTTGCAAGAACGTGGAATTCAGATCATGGAATGTCCGGCGTTAAGTCCTGACCTGAATCCTATTGAACACGTCCTATTCAATTGAGATAGCAAAATAGCAGTAGCTAAACATGGCAACCAACAGTTTCAGATATGCAAAATTAATCAATGTCTTAATAAAGTATCTGCTATTTTTGTACCTCAAATGAATCATGAAACTTCAAGGCAATATTTCTCGAAAATTTTGTTACGTAGCTAATATTAATTTTGGCGGTACCAAATTCAGAAAAAATTCTCTTTTATATTCAATAATAAAAATAGGGGATTACTATTTAAAAAAAATAACGATGACGTCATTACTTCTTTTAAAAATGGCGGAAAGAATTTGAAATCTATACGAAAAAATTGCAAAAAATGTAAATCCTTAGACTCGTCTCAGCGATTTTTCCATAAACCGTTATTAGTTGTTTTAACGAATATATCCGTTACTTTCCTGTATAAAATCCTGTGTAATTCTTCATCCGAATTTTAATATTTTATTTTATTAATATATAGGAACAAATATAGTATCTATAAACATATCACTGTGTGGGTGGGACACAGAGATATTTAGTTTTTAATACATAATGTATAATACAAATTGTGTATTCTTGTTTTCTGATCGAATAGGTGGATTATTCATTTGTTGATTTATTATTTTTCTTTTTAGGTCTGCATTTTGCTGTATTTTTAGGAAGATATGATTTTGCAAAATTAATGTTCGTGTAACCAGAAAAACCTTTTTTTCCCTAGTTTAAACGTAAAACACATCTAGAACAATTTGAATCAGCAAAGTTTGAGTTATTTTAGATCGTTATATGGTTTTTAATTGTTATTGTGTAATTTATAACCGCTGACGCAAAAATTACTGACTGAAACTTCCAAAAACTTTAATTTTCAAAGAGTAAAGTGTCCTTTATAGTTCTACTAAAAATAATATCTGTTCCATATTGCTTTAGGCATAATAAGTATATATTTTTAATATGGAATTGAAAATAGAAAAACTATGGTCACAATAATCAACTAGACATTTTAGCAGGCAAACCTATTTTTAGTTATAACTTCGTAACGCTGTATCCCATAATTTTGGTTTTCTAGAACAATAACTAGAACAACCCAGAATAACAAGAAAAACTGATTTTTCGAAAAATGGGGGTTAGTCAAAAAAGCCGTTTTTTCGATTTTTCTCGTCGAGCTTTTATTTTATTTTTTGTTGTAATGTAGAACAACTCTAGAACAATCTAGAATATTCTAGAACAACAATGAACAATTTAAAAATCAAAAAATTGTTTGTATTATTATTTGATTTGTTTATTTGGATAGTATTGAGTAGCTTTAGGACTGGGTCGTTGTGCCGTGGCACTAATCAATCCGACTATTACGTACGTCTAGTTTTAAAAGATTGAGAGACATTTGAAAGGTGGTAATTTCTTTACCAGATTTATAATGTTATTTGGTTTGTGGTGGTGCATTGATATGCGGTCTGACCTTGTATCTGTATATATATAAGATATGTATATATATACAGATACAGATATGGTAAGATATGTATATATACATATCTTGCCATATGTAATATTTCTTTTCTTTTCTTTTCTCTCGTCCATTTTCTCGATTATTTTTTTTTCTTCATTGTTATTATTATTTTTCTTTATTATTATTATCTTTTTATTTTGATATTATTTTAGTTTATTTTAATTTCTTTAAAAGGTTGGTTGAAACCAGGGACTAAAAACGAAAAGTATTTTGTTCGTTTCCGATTAGAACGAAAACGAAAAATTTCGGTTAAAACTGGTTTTTTACTATTTTTCTAATAAAAGTATGCCAACATGCTTTTTTTAATTTTTTTTTATATTTGACAAATAAGTCACTTGTCATAATTTTAATCATAACTGGCAAAAATTATTAACATAAAATTTATGCTTTCAAAAACTTATATGTTAAAAATTTCAATCAACTGCAGTTTGAGTGGTGATGGCATTTTTGCTTTTTATAAATATTAAAAATAAAATTTAGAATGAATTGTTTGGGACCGTTTCTGTATTGGAGAGGCACGAATCTGTTTTAGTTTCTTTCATTTATTCCCATTAAATTTNAAGCGGCAAATAGAAAAAATAAAAACTCGGCGAGAAAAACCGAAAAAACGGGTTTTTTGACTAGCCCCCCATTTTTGGAAATATCAGATTTTCTTAGTTGTTCTGGGCTGTTCTAGTTATTCTAGAAAATCTAAATTATGGGATACATCATTACGAAGTTATAACTAAAAATAGGTTTGGCTGCCAAAATGTCTAGCTGATTGCTGTGACCATAGTTTTTCTATTTTCAATTCCATATTACAAATATATACTTATTATACCTAAAGCAATCTGGAACAGCTATTATTTTCACTAGAACAACTCTATAAAGGACACTTTACTCTTTGAAAATTAAAGTTTTTGGAAGTTTTAGTCAGTAATTCTTGCGTCAGAGATTTTAAATTACACAATAAGAATTAAAACACATAGAACAATCTAAAATAACTCAAACTTTTGTAACTATTTAATTTAAGAAGCAAGACATCGTCCAATAAATTTTCTTTTAAATTCATCCTTTCACAATTTAAAATATATTTCAGTACTGAAAATGCTCGTTCAACACTCATTTGTGTCATAGGTAAACCAATAATTTGTTTTGCAACGTTATACAATTCATTTGATGACGTTTCTTTTGCTAGGACAAAGATTAAAGAGTAAACAAGATACGACGCTTCGTGTCGGCACCTTTGATGTAGGGCTGCCATTTTGTATGACCTTGAACGTTGTGGACCTTTAAATTGGAATGCACAAAAGGCGGGAATTTTAAAATTGTCCTTTTTTTTTAAATACTATGAAAAATATGTGGATATGTAATAATAATAATAATATAATATATAAATAATAATAATATATAATGAACAAAATAAAAATAAATGTTTATATTATAACTAGGTAATCTATTTTATAAATTCATAAGTTTCTCTTTAATCTTTTAGTAAGCGATTCGTCACATTTGTAGGTGTGGTTTGTTATAGTCAGGGCATTTAAATTGGAATGTCTTTCTATCTCTTTTCAAAACTAGAGTTTCTCACTCTAGCGTCAGAGTGAGAAACTCTAGTTTTGAAACGAGATAGGAAGACATTCCAATTTAAATGCCCTGACGTCACATTTGTAGGTGTGGTTTGTTATTGTCAGGGCATTTAAATTGCAATATCTTCATATCTCTTTTCAAAACTAAAGTTTCTCACTCTAGCGTCGCATCGTGTTTACTCTTTAATCTTTGCCAATACTCTATTTTTCTATCTAATTTTGGTGCACAATAAAGTTTATTATTATAATTATTATTATTATTATATACATATATGTTAGGTTTAAACCATCCGAATGACGAAGTCTTCTTTTTCACCATCTTGTTTCCACCCACTTCCAAAAATATCTTGATGTAATCCAATTTTGATAAAACTTTTTAAAATTTGTTGAAAGTTATTGGATTTATTTATTATAGTACAAATCTAAGTAAGGTTATAATAAGAAACACTAAGTTGACTAGATGTAAAAACTCTTTATTATCAATACTCTCTATAATATTTCAAAACAATATTAAAAGTACATTATTGTCTAAAACATTTTTAGTAAAGCAATTGTTTTAAATTCTTCTAAGAAAATCGTTATCAAAAATACGTTTACGTCACATTTCTCTATAAGCATAAACAAAAAATAAAATAATACAAGTTAAAAGAAAATAATAAAAACCAAGTTTTAATGAAAGAATGCTATTCTTTTTATATGGGCACACATTAATCTTATTATACATTGTATATCTAAGAAACTGACGATTATTTAAAATCTCTCGAACATAATGCATAGAATCGAACGCAACAACAATTGGTCGAACATTTTCAGACGATGTTCCAATTCTCTTTACCTCTATATTATTTAAGTTAAGATTAGTTAATTCTCGAAGAATTGTTTGTACTTTAGCTTTATCAGAAATATTATTCATAATTTGTGATTCGTGTACGTTATGAAGAATTAATTGATACGGTTTTCGCTTCTTGCACCAAATGTAAATCCCACAGAAAAACAATATCATTAGAACGAACAATATCATGTTTAGAGTAGAAATAGTCTTAACTTCAGCCAGCGTCATTGCATGTGACCTTATTCGTATAGATCTATTGCTTTTTTAACCACAAATTTTATGATCTCACTTCCTGAAAAAATTAGTTTTATCAACAAATATCATCAAACTTCACTTGGAAATGTATTTTTGTAATTGTTTACTGTTTTAATTCTTAGATATTAGCACCGGGTTGTTCAAACTAATCACCCGCTTCGATTTTATTTTGAAGAGATTGAAAAATAAAAGGAAAACTGTTGTTTATGACATGAATGTTAACCGCGGACTGAGACCACTGAGACTTTACGATAACGGAGTCCAATACAAGATAATTTAATATGGTTTACGCTGTCTATGAAATCCAGATACTTATACATACTATATACAGAGTGATTAAAAAGTAGATGGCGATGAAAATTTCGCGCAGGACATTTAAATGAACAAAAACTGTTTCCGAATAACTTTTATTTGCGAGATAATCAACATCGCATTCCAGATTTATTTTAAAAGGTTTCTTAACTTCAAACGTTTTTATCAGCTTTTTTAGTCGTCAAAGTACCTCAATAAAAACCAAATACCTAATAAGTACCTAATAAAAACAACCTTAAAAAAGTTTCTTTTTTTGTAACAATACATATCTCTATAATTTGCGCTTTTTCTTGTATTTATTTTTTTATGGAACTCCTTGTCTGTCGAGGCTATATGTGCTTGCTCAGCCGCGCAGTATAGGCGGTTGATTATTCGGAAGACTCTGGATATTAGGTAACTTTTGATTTTTGAATGAGAGTTGAGGATGAGAATTTTTTTTTGTTGTTTTTGATGGTTTGTTTGATTTTTTTTAAAATGCTACTCAAAATACGATTTTGTTTTTTTATTCTGTTTTTGTTTGTCTTGGTACAAGTTAAAATCAGTGGTAGTGTTGCTGCCTTTTCTGTTCTTGTACCATTTAAGCCATTGTAATTTGAATACTTTATTTATTTTAGTTGTAAGGATTTTATTTTGCCTTGTTAATTATATTCTTTTTTTCTCTTCAAATAATTTTGTATCTTGTTTTTGTTATCATTATTTCTAGCTCAATAAACAGTTTATTATTATAGATCCCAAAAACGTTCAATTTGGAAATAAATGTTACAGTTCGAATTCCTTACATTTCTTTATCAATTCCAACAAGTTTTTCATTACCTTGGTGTATCTTCTTTAATATTTTTGAACAAGTTTTAAAATTTAATTTGTACGGAGACTTTATTGATGCAATGTATCTAGCATTACAACCTTCGTTGTGATCATCAATATTTGAATGCATATGGAAGCAAATTAAGTTTAAATTATTTAAACATCATATCATATTACATTTTTTTTAAATTTACTACAATTTTAAACGAAATAATTGAATTTATTTCATATAAATTAAGAAAGAAAATAAGTTTTCATGATTGAATCACATCGAAAATTTTACACGCTATTACGTTTATGCCCGTTTGCACCGTAATACTAATAATAGTAATGCTTAAGTAGTGAATTTGCGTTGCACCGTCAAGTAACCCGTTCTCAAAATCAATGAGACGTTCTCAAATATAAGTATTTGAAATCCAGTGCTTAAGTTGTTCTCAAGCGCATACGTCAAATAGACATAACCGCACATAACCTATACGTTAAAAAAGTAATAAAATAAAATAATGGATCTGCAAATTTTCGACGACGATTTAGATGTTTTGGAAATAATTGATTTTGGTTTTCCAAAATTAATATACACAAGATCCAATTATTTCCACGAAATGGACGAATATAATTTTTTTAAAAGATTTCGTCTAACAAAACAAAGTTGTTTGTATGTTCTACGACAAATACAAGAAATTATAGAATTTCCGTCTAATAAGTAAGTAGTATACATTATTTTAAATTATACTTTTATAGGCTGAATTTAGATTATTTTAATACTACTTGTTTTGTACAGAAACAACTGTGTGTCTCCAATGAACCAGTTGCTAACAACCCTTAGATTTTACGCTTCTGCTAGCCATTTAACTATTGTAGCTGATTTTACCGGGATGCATACTTCAACAGCTAGTAGAATTATATCGCGGGTATCGCGTGCAATTGCTATGCTGAGACCGCAATACATAAAAATGCCAAGTAATACCGAAGAAATTCTAGCAGTACAAAACCAGTTTTATGGAATAGCTGCATTTCCCAGGATTATAGGTGCCATTGATTGCACGCACATAAAAATTCAGTCTCCTGGTGGCGAAGATGCAGAAGTGTACAGGAACCGAAAAGGCTACTTTTCTTTTAATGTACAAGTTATTGTAAATGCAAATTTGGAAGCCATGGATATTGTGGCAAGGTGGCCAGGATCTGTTCACGATTCAACTATATTTAATAATAGTCGGATTAGAGCACGGTTAGAAAACGGAGATTTCCAAAATGGCATATTATTAGGTATGATGTTACTGATACTTAACGTAAAATAGTACATATTACTATTTGATTACAAATGATTAATGATAAGGTTCTTTTAGGCGACAGCGGATATCCTCTGCGAGAGTATTTTCTAACTCCATTGGCAGAGTATAATTGAGCAGAGTGTAATTTGTAAATTTGAAGTGCGTTTTATCTTTCTCCAAAATATGTTTATGTAAATGAAATTTCTAAATATTAATTTATCTTTAAAAGGTTCACCTCTTGCGACATTTTTTATAAACGTCCTTATAACTCACAATATAACTCAACACTCTTCGAATAGCTTCGTCAACAAGCAA